TTTCTCTGCTTGAAATATTTTATTCATTTTAGGCTGCAGAAATTTCCAAAACTTCAACAGAACTCGAAGCGGTCAAAACCGAATGCTTGCAGCAAGAAACGCTCGAACGTGATCTGAAGGATAACCGTGAATTGAAGATATTGCAGGATAAAAAGGCGAGCATTGACGTGCGGGTGCAAGCTATTACCAAGCAATTGGGAAAAATGGATTTCCCCAAACTGTCAGTGGAGAAGAATACATTGATCAAACAACGTGAAAAGGGTATAAGCATTAACCACAAACGTCAGCTTTATTTTTGCACATAAAATTTTAATTAAAAAAAAAACTCATTGCAGGCACTGAGCGTAAGGGCGAATTAATCGGTAAAATTGGCGAAGTTAAAAATCAAATAAAAAAATTGGAAGGTGAAATAAATGAGCCAAAATATAGGAATTCCTTAGAAAATTATCGTCGTGCCGATTACCAAGTAGAAGTAAGCAAACAGCTGATTAAGGAGTTGGGTGAGAGTCGCATCAGTTTAGAGTGGTCGCTTATGCAATTTCATGCTGAAAAAATGGAACGTATTAATAAACTTATACGTGAGTATTGGCGTCTAATTTATCGTGGCAACGACATCGACTACATACAAATACAAACCGATGAAGTGGACCTGAATGCGAATGCCGATCGGCGACGCAACTACAATTATCGTGTTATGCAATCGAAGAATGGCTCCGAGATTGAGATGCGCGGTCGTTGTAGTGCTGGTCAACGTGTATTGGCATCGTTAATTATACGCATGGCCTTGGCCGAAACTTTTAGCAGCAATTGCGGTGTGTTAGCGCTGGATGAGCCGACCACCAATTTGGATCGTAATAATATTTTATCATTGTGTGAGGCATTAAATCGCATTGTAGACGAACGGCGCATGCAATCGAACTTTATGTTGATCATAATTACGCATGATGATGATTTCATATCCACTTTGGGCAAAATAACAACCTATCATCGCGTATTTCGTAATGATGAATGCAAATCGGTTATAAGGAAAGTGAAGGTGGCCTAAGTTAAGTTACATTTCTTGCTATAATTCCAATTATATACATATACACATTTTTTGAATATAAATATTTTTCAACTATTATGCATATTTATATGAAACATACATTCTATCAGTATATTGATACCTCAAATTACTGCTTTTTCCTACTCTCGCAATATGTTGCACATGTTGATTGGAATTAAAACCGATTATATGTATATCCGGTATAATGATTTTCGTCCTTCCGGCCATCTTTATACCATATAGGTCTGTCTTTATCTAATCTATCTTCATGAAATTAAGTTTATAGATTTACTCAAAGTTTCGTGTCAAAAATATGTGGAAGCCGTCCACACCTTCCTCCAGGCCTCATACCCCAATATAATGATTTTCGCCTTTCTTTTTTACTCTATATCGCATATGTCCGTCAATAAATGTTGTGTACTATTGACATATACCTCAATAAAGTTAAGCTATACTAATTGCGAGTGTATATAATGTTCGGCTGCATTCGAATTTAGTCGTTTCTAATTTAAGTATTATATAAAAGTAAGGTCATCTCTAATTTGCGATTACAAAATATAGAAATTCAGTTGAGTCCTTTGAAAGCTGATTTAAACGAATATTTTTTTTAAATTTTTTAATATATTTTTTAAATTGTTTTTAATAATGTGTTTTTTTTTAATTTATATTTTTTATAACTATTTTGATTAATTATTTCATATCTTTTTTATTTTTTTTTTATATTTTTACAATTTTTATTTTGTTTTTACATTTTTTTATACTGTTTTTACTTTTTTTTATACTGCTTTTAATTTTTTTATATTTTTCTAAATTATTTAAAATATTTTTAATTTATTTTTATACATATTTTTTAAAATTTTTTATATTCTTTTTTAACATTTTTTTTAAATATATTTCTAATTTTTTTAAGTTTTTTGTATACATTGTTTTATTGTAAATTTTTTGTGTAGTTTTTTATTTCTATTTTTTTTTAATTTTTCGTGTCATTTGTTTTTAATTTTTTAAATTTTGTTTCATTTGTATTTAATTTTTCATAATTTTTTTTTTTTTAATTTTTTGGTTTTTGTTATTTTATAAGTCGTATTTATTTTGTTTGGCTTTTATAGGTTTCTGTTTTGATAAGTTTTGTAATTATTTCAAATTTTTTTTATATAGTTTTATATTGTTTTTAAATGATTTTTTTTATAATTTTTTTTGGGAAAACTTTAGTTTAGCATCCCACGATTTCAGGGTTAAGAGGGGTATGGTTGAATAGAGGAGATGCTCCAGATCTCGAATATATATAATTATTGCCGCCGGAAACTTATAGTTTTCGAGATCTTTGCATTTAAAGTTGAAAATTTCACACTTTTCATTTTACAATTTCTCGATTTATGATTATCTTTTTATTTATATTATGCACTTATTACACACTAACACTTCACTACAATGTTTCTACATATCTATTTTATATTAAATATTTAAGAATTTGCTTTAAATAAGCATTTAATTTTTATACAATTTTCGTAATATGAACAATAACAAATGGGTTCCATGTTGTCAGATAATAAGTGTTGCCATATCCAAACGGATGAAAGCAATCAAAATAAATAAAAAACCCAATCACCCTCTACAAAATATTATGAACTTAATTTTCCATTTTAATAAAAGAAAAAGGTTTTATGGCTTAAACGTATGTTTTATTGCAACTGATAATTTCACAAATGGATCATGATGCTGATTTACTATATTTTTACGCCATATGTATTCATATATCAAATTTTCAAAATCTTCACTGTTATTATAATTATCCTTAATAAAAATTGAAGTTTATAGAGAGTGATATATTCTCTTTAACATTACTTTTTTTTGGTTAAGATTTTTTATTTGCACTGGCGGCCGCGCTTCAAAAAAATAACCCTGGTCGGTCCAACACCGGGGTGTTCATAATTCAATCGCGTCAAACTTCTTTCCGCACTGGCGGCCTTCGGCCGCGCTTCAAAAAAATAACCCTGGTCGGTCCAACACCGGGGTGTTCATAATTCAATCGCGTCAAACTTCTTTCTACACTGTCGGCCTTCGGCCGCGCTTTAAAAAAATAACCCTGGCCAATCCAATACCATAATTTATCAATAGAAGGGAATGAACAAAATTATAGTTCATGTATTTGGGGTATAATCCTCTTTTATTGTTCATTTTAATTCGCTTTGAAAATATATATAATAGATATGGCAACACTTATTATTTGACAACATGGAACCCATTTGTTATTGTTCATATTACGAAAATTGTGTAAAAACTAAATGCTTATTTAAAGCAAATACTTAAATATTTAATATAAAATAAATATGTAGAAACATTGAAGTGAAAAGTTAGTGTATAATTAGTGCATAATATAAAAGAAAAGATAACCATAAATCGAGAAATTGTAAAATGAAGTTTGTGAAATTTTCAACTTAAAATGCAAATATCTCGAAAACTGTAAGTTTCCGGCGGCAATAATTGTATATATTCGTGATCTGGAGAATCTCCTCTATCCAACCATACCCCTCTTAACCCTGAAATCGTGGGATGCTAAACTAAAGCTCAACCTTTTTTTTTTAATTTGTATGTTACTTTTAAATTTTTATGTTTTTTTTTTTAATTTTAGTTTTTATATTGCTATTAAATAAAACATTTTTTTAAAATTGGTTTTAAATGTTGGTGTTTTATTTTTTAATTTCTTTATAACTTGTATTTTTTTATAATTTTTTTTTGATTAAAATAATTTTCCATTGAGGGATTTGCGAACTCCACGAAGTTGATATAAACACATATTTTTTTTTAATTCTATATATTTTTATATTGTTTTAATAATGTTTTTTTTTGCTAAATTTTTTTATAATTATTTTAATTAATTATTTTACATCTTGTTTAGATGTTTTATATATTTAAATTTTTTTTGTTTTTAAATTTTTTTATTTTGTTATTTTTAATTTTTTTTATATATTTAAAATTTTTTTTTGTTATATTTGTGAATTTCTTTTTTTATATTTTGTAACATTTTTTTTTTATTTCTTAAAACTTTTTTTCAGATGGGTTTTAAATGTATTTATAATATGTTTGCTTATTATTTTTTAATTATTTTATAATCTGTATTTGTATTTTAAATTTGTTTCTTTTTTAGTGTTTTGGTTTAACCTGTTTTTTTTTTTTAATTATTATTATATTAATAAGATGTTAAAGAAGGGCGTTTGTTTTTTGTTGCCAATTATATAGAAACTTTTAAGAAAATAGTCGTACTTTTCTATTTAAGAAATCAATACCAATATTCTTCATAGTTATGTGTTATTTATGTACATGTAGAATTATGCCTTAATATACATATGTATTTATATAAATAAATAAAATCAGAACATTAATACCGTATTTATAGCAATCATTATCAGCAACAGCGTCAGCTAGTGCTAGCTAGAGTGCAAACTAACCTGTGGAGATAATAGTAAACCGGTTGCTCTTAGGTATGGATATATTGCCATAGTACAAAAAAAATCAAAAAATTCAGGTAGGCCCTTGGTGGATATAAATACCGGTCCGTTTTGGTTACAGAGAGTTGACAATCTACAAGCAAGTCGAGTTTACCGTTAGATAATACTTGAAATATATATCACCTGTATTTTCTAACAAATAGCAATTCTTTAAACTTTTGATTTGAATTTTCCTCACACATTCGACAATTAATGTCTGGACGCGCACGAGTCACAAGGTAACCAAAGTAAACAAAAATAGTTGCTAGCGTAACATAATGAAAAAAATGCTGCCAATGAAATTTTTCAAATATTGACCTGTTATCTTGTCTTTGGAAGCATCTGTATCAATAAAATGTTCGACGCAAACACTCACTTTTTATATGGCTTTGTTTCGAACTATTTCGCCTCGTAAAATCATACTGATCTGTGAGTATAAATATGCGCAATATTTTCATTGATATTCTCAGTATTTAAGAGGCTTTTGCAACCAGCAGTCAAAGTTGATAGTATTCCGTATATAGGCGAGGTGAAAAATCAAAAAAACAAAAATGCAGTCATCTATGTTGTTCGTTACGCTATTGCTGATCTCCACTTTGCTACTAGTCAGCGTTCCGTCCGCCGAATCGACGCTAATTTTATTGCTTTGTGCTCTAGGATCACCATTATGTCCATTCACCACAACTGCTGCCCCTGTTGCTAGTAGTACTTAAGCTAGGTGTGGGCAAAAGGGAACGATACTAAACAGGACAAGGTTTTAAAGAAGTGCTCTGTCTTTTAATGGATTTGGATAAATAAAAAAACTTACTGCAAATTAAAAAAGACTTTAATTGTGAGATTCGAATGGTGGTCTAAGTTGGGTAGGTTGGAATGTGGCTTCTCTCTAACTGTTCTTGGAAAGTTCGAAACTTTTTTTATGAAATCATTCTTTGAAATCTGTCACTTACCAGGTTTTCTAGTCTTCAAGTTGTCGATTGATATTCATTTACTGCTCCACTTGCTCTTTCTAAAGCGCTTTCTTTTACCTCATTAAAAGTACTACCACTACATACTGTAAAATCTACACTCATTCCGGAGACTGGTTCTATCCAGTTCTATGCTGTTGCTTTTTGTTAATTTCGTCTGTTACAGATAGCTAAGTATCTAAGTGCTGCTATTTTTTAATAATGGCAGTGGCTTCTTGACAGGCATTGACAAATCTCCAAGTGTACTTTTGCTATAAACACGTTTGGGCTCTTCAGAAGCGGCCTACTACAGCCCACAGGTAGAAGGAAGAAGTTTGCCTAAATATCTAAGGTAGGTTAGTGATAGCTTTATTAAGGCAAACGCCTTGGGGTCTATGCGTCTGTTAACAACCTTATTCTGTAAAGCAACTATGTACATCAGTTTTTCCAAATTCCTTATTTGCTTTACTATATAATAGAATATTTTAATCAAAAAACACTTAATATTAACCCAAATAGAATGACGCCACCGTTGTCATGTTGATATTATTTTGGCCGAGCTTCCCCAATTTGTGGTGTGTAGTGGTGGTGTGGTATCAGCACAAATCATTTCTTAAGGGGTTATCCAAGCATTTTACTTAATATATAGATTAAAAAAAAAACCCACATTTACAGAATTTAATGTACTTTAATTAACAGCGATAAATTTTGAAACTTTGTTTGAATCCTTTGATCCCTTAACCGATCTTCAGGAGAGCTTTTGAAAAAAGGAGTTTGGCGGTGAAGTAAATTTGTCTGCTTAAAATTATTTAAAATGCAAAAAAAATATATATATTTTTCCAGTAGATGAATACAGGTAATAATCGTAGGACTAGTCAAAATTTTAGTTTTTGACAAAATGGCGGCTTCCCAAAACAAATTATAGTTTGTGAAAATTCTTATTTCTTCGAGCTTTATCTGAAAAATATATTTAAGGAGGTAGTGTGAAAAATTCAAGTCGATCGGAGAAATTTTCCTCATGGACTCTGGAAACAGCGTTTCACTATTTGCCAGGTCGACTTAAAATTTTCGGAAAATATTCTCAAATAAATGTATGTACATTCGATATATATATTATATGTATATGTAAAACATAATATCGATTTTTAGTATTTTACAAGTGAATATAAGCCCTTCACTTATTGTTTTTGCCAGATGCCTATCAGTGCTCTAGTAATTCTGGTTAAGTACGCCCGACTGTTTTTGGTGGATGTGTTGTTCTATGGATGAATTTCATTTGTACAAATATTCGTCCTTTGTGTTCCAATAAATAAAGAAACACACCGATTATAATCATCAACGGAACACACGACTTATCATTCGATAGTGATGTACCGAAATCACTTGGCTAGCCACCGCCGCCAAATTAAAAATCACTTAGCACAGGTCAAAAACGAAATGCTCATTATCTAAGTGTTTAATTACACTAACGATGGGGGGGTCCTAAGTTAAATAAGTACTTTCGTTGCAATGCCACATGTCTAGATACATATTTGTCCACACATCCAGCTTATTAATCAGTGTACTTATACGACTGCCTTAGATAAATTAGTTCATTCGGTTAAGAACATTCGTCACGCAAGCAAAACTTTGCTGCTGTTCAATGGCAAATACTCAAGAAAACAAAAAAATTGTGAAAACTTATTGTCGAGGCAATATGAAGAAGTTTCTTAAGGAGACCACATTGCATGGCTTGAAATATCTGGCTGACGATACCATCACCATTTGGGAGAAGTAAGTGAATTTGGTAAATGTAATAGTAGTGCTTCGAAAACTTTAAATTTAATTTGCAACAATGCTCTGCTTTATAGGTCTTTTTTTTTGTGCGCCTTTCTTGCTGCCATCATAGTAACGGCCAATCTAATTGCGAATGTGTATGCTAAATGGATTAGCACGCCAGTGATTATTGGCATAAGTCCACATCCCACGTCCATATTGAATACACCATTTCCAGCTATAACTGTTTGTAATATGAATCAGGTGATGGCGAGCAGTGTGGCGAATTATACAACGTAAGTGAACACGATTAAAGCTATGCGAAACTAAAAATTATTTTAAAAAGTTTGCAATACTTTGAGCCTGTTGAAATTTTGAAAATACCGAAGCTTGAGATCTCCTCAACTTCAGATTATCGAAGTTCTAAACGGGCACTGCCACAGAGTTTTATATGGTTTGCGGTATTAATATTCTTTAGTTTTTTGTGAATGCGTCCGGGTTTATTTTCGGATTGTCAATAGTTAATTTTCGTTATTCAGATAATCTCAGGAACTTATAAAACTCTGTATCAGTGGACTGTTGGGCTTCATTGGTAGTGGTTAAGGTTCTTTTTCTACAATTTTAAAAGTCTTACTGTACTGAGCACTTCTTTGAGTTGTCTCAATTTATTTTCGTAATTTCGATTATTTTTTACAGCGATTCCAGCGAGGGTGTCTTGTTAAAACTGTTATGCAATGTGGGATCAATTGTGGATGAAAAATTAATAGAATCGCCAAATTTTAAAAATAACAATTTGACAGTTTCAACATTTTTACTTGAGGTGAGTATATATATAGGTATATGATATCCTAACCGAACCAGTAGTTTAAAAGCTGAAATATTACTCTGAGGTATTCTGAGGCTATTCTGAGGCTATTCTGAGGCTATTCTGAGGTATTCTTCTCTTAAAAATTGTTCTGCTAAAGAATGAGTATATTTAAGTAAACCCCTTTACCATAACCTTAAATACTCGTATATGGTAAATCAAAAATTATTGTGTTTTCACGATGCCTTGCTCACAATACTAGTAAACCACAGTTTCGAAATAAGATTTTAAAAAATATAATCCCATTAAAAAAAAAGATTGAGAAAACTCCATTCGGTTTACGGTACTTCCCACACTTTCTCAATGTCAACTCACTAATTTCAATTCTCTCGCTCACTTATTCAAACATTTCTAGCACGCCCAACCATGCTCTCGAATGTTACTCTCCTGTTCGATTGGTTCGTCTGTAAAGAACTGCTCCGATCTATTTCGTGAAATTATGACAGATGAGGGTCTTTGCTGTGTTTTCAATGTTTTACATCCTGATTTTCTATTTAAGGGCAAGTAAGTGATTTTAATAAATTTTAAAACTTGTCTTGACTACTTCTATACATTTCTATACTGCTTTTTCTCTCTGTGCCTTCCTTTGTAGCACTAAAAAAATAATTAGCGACTACGAACGTGCCGATAACGGTATACCGATCGATTGGGATCCGGAAAGTGGTTATCCCAAGGTCTTACCATCGAATTACTATCCGCGTGCCGCATCTGGAACGGGTGTATCAATGGGCCTTTCATTGATATTAGATGCAGAACTAGATAATTATTACTGCTCAACAACCAATGGTCCCGGTTTTAAGGTGAGTTAATAATATAAACCTAGTTATAATATATTAATGCAGTTCCTTGAAGATTTGTCAATAAATTCAGTTTTCTCTCACCCTCTTTCTACCTCTTTGTCTCTTTCTATATTACACTTACTTTTTCTATATCTCTCTCTTTCTATCTATCTCTCTCCTTATCTACTATTTTCTCTCCATTTCTATTCTATTAAACTCTCTCTCTCTCCCTCTCTACCCTTTTTCTTTCCAGATCGGCATGCATAATGCAATCGAAGCGACTACAATCAGAGAAACTGCGCTCATTTTGCCCGTGAGTTTCGAGACTCGTTTGCGGATCGATGTCACTAGTACTGAAGCCACCGCAACGGTACGCCATTTGCGTCGCAATGAACGTCAGTGTCTGTTTAATGGTGAAGAGAATTTACTCTATTTCACACATTACTCACGACGCAATTGCGAGAGTGAATGTCTTGTGAAATATCTCTATGAACAGTGCAAATGTGTACCGTACAATTTACCGTTGATTTTTGAAAATGCAACCGTATGCAGTGCACAACAAACATATTGCATTAGTTTAGCCGAAAATAATTGGTTGAAAGGTGACGGTGGAAGTAGTTGTCGAAAACTTTGTTTACCCGCATGCTTTGATTTGAGCTATAAAGCCGAAGCTACTTCGACACCTTTACGAGCTTACAACTATCTGACCCCACCAAGTATATTAAAGAATATGTCAATGGAGTATATTAACAAAAATGTTGCGGTGGTGCATTTATTCTATCGCGAATCCGTATTCCATGGTGTTCTGAAAAATGTCTATGTCGGCTTTACGGAATTTCTATGTGAGTACCTTAGCGCTCTTTTATTATTATGTCCAAATCTAAAACTGTTTCTAAAACAAAAATGTCATGATAAACAATTTGTTTATTTATTTCTCGGCTTAAGCTAACACTGGCGGCATTATGGGCTTGTTTATGGGTTTTAGTTTCATATCTGTTGCCGAAGTAATTTATTTTGCTTTCATGCGTCCCATATTCGAGTTGATTTTGCCAGTGAGAAGAAAAAGAATGATACAACGCAGAGCTAACTTAAAGTTGAGAATGAGGTAAAGTTTTTGGTGTATTGTGGTGATTACTAATTGAAAAGGCAGTTTGCGGAAATGCTATGAATTTTGAAGCTCTCTTAATTTATTTGTTTCCTTCCACAAGCAGACCGCGTTTTCAACCGAATCATCGATTTCTAAAAGCCAATTGAGTGACAGTGAGGTCAGTGAGACTCATACGTGTACATGAAGTATATGCACTTTACGTTTTCACAATAATTTTGAAAAAAATAAAATAAAAATTAAATTATATTAAAAAGATAAATAAAGAAAATATTAGTTTTTTTTTAGAAAATTATTTGATTAGGTATATGGTAGGTGGGCTAGGGAAGTACTAAACCATTTTTTTTTCATATTTAGCAGTAAGCTAAGTTTCATTCATATATTTTTCAAATTTACCGATATTTTCAGTATATTCATACATTTTTATAAGAGAGTTGAGGCACTATTTGTGTTCCGATATTTTTATTGATGTTGGATTTATCTAAGTAAAAGCAAAAAAATCTGTTGTAGTTTAAGCGGCACACCCAGTGCAAAATTTGCATTTTTTTATTCTTGCACACATTGATACAAAAATTGTACATGTATGTAAATTTTAAATATTCGAATATTTTTTAAGTTACAGGCGTCTAAACTGTAGCCGCTCAGTTCAATTTGCTCTATCAGTTTGTCTTCAAATGCGTTTTTTTATACTCTCGCAACAGGTTGCACGGAGTAGTAGTAGTCTATAGTTATATATATACATATATAAATGATTGATGACAGGTTGACAGGTTGACGAGTTGAAATTGGTATTGCATATGGGCGTAATCGGACCACCGTCACGCCCACAAAACGCTTTACTAAATTTTTTTAGATTTCTTTTAAAATTTTTTTTTTAAATTAAAAATTATTTTAATTTATTTTAATTTTTGGCCCCATAATTGAATGTACATATCTTCCAAATCGCTGACGCTAAATAAACCAAACTTGCCGACAAGAAATTCCTTTAGTTAGTATACACTCTGAAAATGGATAAAATCAGATAATAACCACGCACACTTCCATATAAAGGTTTAGTTAAAAACTACTAAAAGTGCTTTAACTCATTGAATAAATGCGCCACAAGTATTAAATTTCACAACCAAGATGACAGGTGTAAAAATTGGTCAAGGGGAGTGGCACCTCTTGTTTGTATATCTCAGGAACCACTTGACTAATTTCAACCAAAACATTACCATAATACACTGTGGGGCGAAATCGGATGACAACCACGCCTACTTCCCATATATCAAACTTTTAAATTCCGTCTGACTCTTTACAGTATACAAATCAAACATCAATGAAGGTATCAGAATAAAGCTTCGCACAAATAGTGCTTTCAACATATTCCATCTTACGCCCAAAAATTACCGAAATCGGGCTATAACTTTTCAAGAACAGACACTAAATATGTGAACCCCGGTTCATATGGCTGATTTCTTTTTAGCATATCGGTCAATCTGTGAGATGACAGGATTCCTTATGACAAAAATAGGTAAACTCGAGTCAATAATCGCCTACACCTAATATAAATATTTTCGAACTTCCGGTTGACTTTATGCCGCATCTATCGGTCAAAATGTAAAAAATCTTAATGAAATTTAGAAAGAAATCTTGCTAATAACGGCGTATCCTCTTGCCAAAAGTGCATTATCAAATCGCGAGAGCAAAAAATTTTTGGTTACTCCAGAACTTAACCCTTCCTTATTTGTTTTTAACTTCATTTTTCAAATGTGCGTAAGGGATTACTATAAGACAAATAATCTGATCACTATATAATTCTTCACTGATTAAAAATCGAAAAAAAAAACCAAAATTCAACTTTTTTTTTAAAACCCCGCTATTTTGTAAATTTTGAATTTTTTTTCACCATAAGTCATTGTACGCACAAAATGTTTTTTTTTTTGGTTTCATCCACGCTTGTTTTTATCTCATAAAATATTTAATTTTCTTCATATATAATAATATACCCATACCATTTTAAAACAGTTGATACAGTAGTTTCACACTGTCACACTACATAGGTGTGCGCCTTAAAATGTTATCGTACGCGAAGTTGGTGTGAATGTCGCTCGATTTCGGTTCTCTTGACCTCTCTTGACTCCTAACTCGAACCCCTTTAACGCCTAGCTTGAACTCGTTTCCCCCCTAGCTTGAACTAATATGAACCTTTGCTTGATTTGTTTGATCGCGTTTGATCCCTTGCTTGTCCTCACTGTAGTTTGATATTGCGGGGTTATACCTAGCTTAACTTCACGTTTGAGATGGGTCAACTCTATTTAGCTACCCTATACTACGCAGTAAAATGAATGAAAATCGAAATCAGGCAATATCTACGAATCGCTCTCTAACCTATAACAATAGACCTCTCATAAATTAATTGGTCTCGGAGTTGGATAAAAAAAGCTCATAAGTCAACCATCTGCTTACCACAAAAGAGAGCATAAATTCCGATAAGCACCTAGAGGTCCATTTATGTTGTGAGAAATATAATATGAAAGATGTATGGATGTTTGCATGTATATAAATATGTTTATATTTGTGTATGTAAATATGTATGTAAATTGAATTTATTTTACCTTTTGCTCGTAACTCAGCACACCAAATGAAGCGTGCAAAATAATGTGGGAATCTTAGGTTCAGGCGAAATTCTGCTGATGACCCTTTGCAAAAAAAAAAGAAACAAAGCAAAAAAAGAAAAAAAAAACCAAAAGGAACCAAAATAAAGCCAAATAAATTCCCCAAAAATATATTATGCACACATCATTTGCATCGCAAGTTTGGTTAGTTAAGACGATATGTAATTGCTTAAGCGCAAAGTATTTCAAGCATGAAAACATAAATCTGAACCGAGAAAAAGCAAAGCGTAACAACTGATTGAGTCCAACGGTGCGGTGGAAATAAATAACAAATGGCTGGGTGTACGATTGTGGGTGCGGATGCGAGTGTGTTGAACCTTTATCAGAATTTAATAAGATACGCAAGAGTGGAGATTTGGTTGCGCTTTTGGATAATTTAAGTGCTTCTACTTAGTGTGCTCGTGTCCATATCTACACACATATGTACATACAAACATAAGTTTGTACTTTGATATAATCTTGAATAAATAGTGTATTTAATTTTTCATAACTATACAATGTTCGCACACTTAAACAGTTAATGAAATACATTTTTCTACATTTTGAAGGTTATGAAATATTTATTGTATTTCATCTTTATTGATTTATTTAGAAGAGAAACATTTATATAATAAATAATTGCTATAACCGTAATTTATCTTAGGTTAGGTCGCAGGGTTGATCCAAAATCGATAGATCTCACTTGAACAGATATTTGTCCTTTGTGTTACCCATAAACTCTTACAAGTGGATCACCAGATCCTCATAGATCGACGAAGTGTTTTGAGCTTACCAAAAATTTATTAAGGCGGTTAATAGCCATCCCAGCAACTTTGTTAGGTTTGCCAACGATGTTTCTACCGAGATATTTTAAACTCAGTCTGGCAAAAGCTGGGCAATAGATAAGGAAGTCACAAGATGATTCCACCTCGCCTTCCTTCATACAGCGTTAGTAGAGAGCGTCCGACCAAATATTTAGCCGCAATTTGCTAAGAGCCAGTAGTTCGTAGGACCTCTAACGGTTCACTCTGGACCAGATGGTTCTCGCAGTCGCACAAGTTCTGGTTGTTGACCAGCGCTTGCTGAGCTCACTCGAGGTCGAAAGGTCCAACGCGCTCCCTAGCAAGCTCATCGGCTTTGCAGTTTCCGGCGATTGCGCTGTGACCGGACGCCCTTACAAGTCTAATATGGAAGAAGCTTGAAGCTACAGCTTATAAGGTCATGCACTCCTTTAACAGTTTAAAGCTCACAATCAGCGAGCTCAAAGCCAGTATAGCCGCTCGGCTATCGAAGTGAATGCACATCTCACTGAATGATTATGCACTTCGAAGCAGTACATCTACTGCTACCTTGAAAGCAGCTACCTCCGCTTGAAAGACGCCACAGTGGTCTAGTAGTCTGAAACTAGAGTTGATGGAGAGCACCCGATAGAAGAGTCCACCTTCTACTCTTCCTCTTAACATCGATCTATCTGTGAAAAAACTCAGTGCATCCCTTTTCCAACGGCTTCACTCCGCCCATATATCCCTTGCAGGGGTGTGAACTGAGAAGGAACCGCCAGTGAAGGTTCTGCGATGCAGTCATCTCGATTGTAAGGCATGCTCGAAGAATTTCAGTGTGTCCCTGCCCGGGGTCCCTCATATGTCCAGCTTTATTTTATTACTATCGACAATAAAGAAACAGAATTTGTAATATTTCGAATTTTTTTATTATTTGTTTTCGGTTATCAGGTTAGTTTTTTATCCTGAACAGGATATACTTAGTATGCTATGAAGTTTGTAACACCCAGAAGGAAACGTCGGAGACCCTATAAAGTGTATATATAAATTATCAACCACGATTTAGCCACGTCCGTTTGTCTGACTTTTGTTTGGACTAATTGAAATAGCACAGTACAATGCCCTCATTTTTTAATTAATCGAGGTATTTAATAAGATCGTTTCAAATGCCGAAGATTGATCGTGTTTTGAATATATTTTTGCTACACAAATATCCGTTTTTGTTTTCGTTTTGGGTAATCATGCTGAGCAGACATTCTTTGATTTGATATAATAGCGATTCATATTAGCATAAACGTAGATCCGACTGTATGTTAGAGAACGTCGTGAGTAAATATTTTGTTCTGATGCCAATCATTTCGGTAATCAGTTCAATATATTGTGATTTTTAATCTCGATGTTTCGAGTGACTTGAAGAACAGAACCTGCGACATTTTAATTTTTTGAGGTATGTAGCTCTCTCAAAAGCAATTTTCTCAGCTGAGTCATTTTATCAGCGCACAGTGGCTGTGGTTTCTACATAACCTGCTTTTCATTTAATACGCCAAACTCTATAAACAACAGAAAACTTATTCGATGAAAATTGTAAATACCATCAACTGTTATTCGCTTTCATTATAAATTATAAAATTTACAAATTATTATACCTTTTACGTCCACACTTATTAAGGCCTTTAACTAATTTCGCTTATTTTCAAATACTTAAATGCAAAAGCCAAAAAATCAACTAAAAGTTGCGACTAAAGTGTGCCGCATAAGTGTGTCTTCTTTCAACAAAGTAGGCACACTTAAGTACAACAATGCAAACTTTTCA